ATGCCCAAAGCTAGACATAGCATTCAAATTGCGCCTAACCAAAGCTTTGACAAGTGAAAGGATTACAGCATGTGCCTCGCAGGCTTCCTGCTTGTGTGACGAGTATGTTCAGGGCACTGCAATGCCGCTGATTCACATCCAGCTCGTAATTCACCCAGGCTCTTCGCTGCCTTCTACAGCAACTGTTATCCACTCGTTTCTAGCCCAGCCCAGGATTTATGCAGTTCCAATTATTTTCAGGTTTTTTTTTTTTGTCTTGTGGAACACTTTTTACCCAAAAAGAGATGATCTTTTTTAGGAATGTCACAAAAAATTACACTGATGCTAAGCAGTATCAATTTGCTTCTCTTGGTCACCTCACATGGACTCCAGAGCTTTCCCAGGATCAACAGGCAAGACTCTAAAAATCACCGGCTGTAGAAATAAAGTATGAATTTGTGATTGTCTCTGCCGGTTTATTTTTTTATATATATTTAAAAACCCCCCAAACCCCACTTTTCTATAAATTCTAATCTTATGCTCCAACTACAGGCTCCTCTTCATTTGGTATCATCTCCAAATTCAGTTTGGTGGGTTTTTTTTTTTTTTTTGGTTTGTTTTTTTTGTTTTTTTTTTTTTGTCTATCCCATCATCTGGTTTGCACAGTAGCAACTTAGCAGAGAAGAGACCTTGGCTAAGACACTGGGTGTAGTCTTACTAGTTCAGCACCCACTAGAGTGGTTTATCTAGCTTGCATTTGAAAATATGCAATACCTAGTTTGCATTTGGGGAAAAAAAAAAAAAAGTGAGAATTACAAATAACCACCAAAGTCAAGATGTTATCAAGCACATGACACATATTGGTTGCACTTTGCATCTTCATCTTTTGGGTTTCTTTTTTGCATGGAGAAAATGGTAGTGAGCAAAGCAGATAACATTCACAGATGGCCCACTAACACTTAGAGATACTGTTGGCAATATTCATTTACTCAAATTTATATCCTAATTGCAATAAAAATACCACAGCCTTAATCTACAGGCAAATGCAAAATTACTACAGAACGAAAAGTGCTATAGCACTAGAAGACTTGTTCTAACAAGCAGAGATGCATGAGATAATCCTTGTGAGCAATTTATTCACTGACTTCAACCTCTGTTCTGTTAATGAATTCAAGGGGACATTTTTATTTCTGTGAATTTATTATTTCTTTAGAATTATTAATAAACTAATTATATGACCATGCTCTGTCTCCAGATTGCTCGCAAGCTATTTGCCATCCCACCAAGATCTTATGTTCATAAATCACATCACTTACTCAGCTAATCCACATTTTTTTCAGTCTACAAACCTACAGCATTTTCAAGGTGGTTACTGCATTAAAGATTATGCAAATGAGTATCATGACATTTTTATCTTTCTCAGCTGAGCATTTCGGAAATCAAGAACTCGTTCACATGAATAACTGCAGAAAACACTCATCAGAATCTGAATGCAAACTAAATAGGGAAATTCTTAACCCATTTTCACTTTCAAAAAGATAAGATTAAATCTAATATGACAAATTAATTCATAAATCTTTTGAGACAGTGGGTAAATATGTTAAATATTGCATAATAAATAATTATCCAGAATATACAGAATACAGGGTTCTATTAACCGCACAATGGCCAGTTTCTTCCTTTTACATTGCACACAAACTGAATAATGTTTAAAATTAAAGTCAAATACATGTAATTTTTTTTTCCAGTGTAGAACACCATGTTAAATACATATTTCACTACGGTAAAATAACTTTTTTTGTTTAGATTTCTCTTGGCTACACAATATTTTAGTTAAAGCTACCAGACACAGCATGCATGTAAGTTTTGGTCAGAAGTCCACACTTCAGGTAACAACACTGATTTATGGCCAGTGTGCTGCCAACATAACTTTACTGTTAGTAGCAAAAAATTCAAATAAAGTACAGCTAAACTGCAAACAGAACAGCACTCTGACTCTTACTGCTCATTTCTGATGTGTCATACTCATCACATTTTAAAATAAACTGAGAATGAGCGGCTACTAGGAAAATGACACAAAAGACATTTCTAAAGACCCTGATTCTCTTTTTATGTTACATATAATATAGAAATGGCTTTTTCAAAACTTCTAACAGGAAGATTGCATTGCAAGTTAGGTATTTGATGTGTGCAGTAAAAAGGCCTTCAATACTACAAAAGTCGTCTCCTTAATCCAAAATTCAAATACCTATTTTAAAGACATTCAGCATTATATTTAAACAAAGCCAGTGCAACGCCTGCAGCTGCAAATTGCAGGGAACAAATGCAAATCACCAGAGTTCACACTGCAGGCTCTGAAAAGTCATCAAAGCCTCCAAGTACTTTTAAAGAATAAGGTACAAAATGCCACCAGACCTCACACGCTACCCTGCGGGAATCCACTACTTTTCACCTGATAGAGTGATGAATTTAAGAACTTCAATCCTTTCTTTTTCCAGAGCCTCTATAAAAATACAAATGATACCTAGTACACACATACACAACTAAAAGAAAAAAAAAACACCTTGTTTTTTTGTTTGTTTTATGTTTGTTTGTTTTTTTGTTTTTTTGTTTTTTAAAGACTTAAGCTTTATTTAAGAGTTAAAAACTTACAACATATAGCACAAATTGCATCTGCTCAATGCTGCTAAAGATGGATAAATTAACAGAAAAGTTGTCTGATATTGCTGCCAGGAAATTGTAATGGTACAAATTACTACGTAATCATTACTAGAAGATATTTCTGAACTGCCACAACTTCCTTCATTGAGTTCAACCTTCCATCCAAAAGTCATCCCCACTTTGTAGATACGAAAAAAATGCAGAAAGAGGTTATGTAAGAAATTTAAAACCTTCATTATAATTCAGTGGTATACAGAGGAATTATGTATATTCTCTTGCACCATTTTAGATACCCTATACTCTTATAAATGTAATACGGCCAATGAGTGAAGCCACAGACAATTTAATTTTTCACCTGCCTATTTTTCTGGTAGTACAGAAGTAAGAATATTAGGAATGTTGAAAGCTAAACAGCTAGGTGGGATCTAAATTAGGTACTGAGAGAGACTTCATTTCAAAACTTGGAACAGAATAAATTCGCCGTTTCAGAGACTCGCCTTTTTCTTTTGATGGAGCAGAAGAGTACCAATGCATTTGGTTTGAAAGCATCCAAGGCATTTGCTCCAACACAGCCTGACTGTGGCAGCTGGAGGGTGTCCCACTGCAACCGGCCACTCCACTGGGCCATTTCACCAGGACCAGCATGAAGGGAGCTGGCACAACTCCTCGATCCCTCTGAAGCCGCTCCTGGGGCTAAGGCAGGGAGCGGCTCTAATGAAGTGTGTGCTGCCCCACCCTTTTCTGCCAATGGATCTCCTCCATCAGCTGTCCCTGCACCTCCAGAAACACATTACCAGCGTTGAGAATGGCAGGCCACCCTCCTCCATTTCAGGTCAGTCCTTGCTGTCCCAGCAGCTGATGTGACGCCTCGCAGCCCGCAGCAGAGCCGCCTGCACGGCAGAGCCGTTCCATGACCCCCGCGGCTCACACACGCAGCCTGGGCCTCGCTCTTTCTACTCTGCTTTATCCTAACTCATGCTAAGGATCCTTCTGCTGGTTTTCCAAACATTCTCTTGTCACTTTCTTCCTCCATTAAGGAAAAAAAAAAAAAAAAAACAAAACAAAAAACACAACACAACAACCTTCAAATTATCCTAATCATGAGGCAGCCACCACCCTTCGTATGCCTCAATGGCTTCACACCAGAGTAATCCTCTCTCAGTGATGAGAAAACTCATTAGTGGACAATTTTCATCCAGTCAAAGGGTGAAAAATACCCCCCCAACAACAAAACCAAAACCCCACCTCACAAACCTGGGATGGGAACCTGAGATTTCCTCCCTAATTCAGGAGACTCCTGCATTTTTCCTCACTTATAAGCAAGACAAGTACAAGAAGCCTTTCTAGTTCACCGAGACTAACAGGCAGGTGGATGACTGCTAGCATCAAAGAGCATGCAGGGCTATTGCTGAGCTGTATTTAATTTTCATATTAGCGAGGCAGCGTATAAAAAATAGACCCTTCTGTACTAGCGAGGGAAGCAGCATTCACCTTGAGCCAGGTTCAAAATGAACAGCGGGAAGAACCGTACCACACCATGCCAGACTAACAATTCCAAGTTGTACTTCTTCAGGCGAGCCCTCATCGGGACGACAAAGCAACCGCCCATTTAAGTGTGTAACAGGAACCTAGCAAGACACATATTGCAGTTATTCACCAGAACACCACCTCTTAGTTTTCAGCAGGGCTGGGTGTGGACAGCCACTGAAAGGAGTGGGGAGAAGGCAGCCATACAACATCCCTAATTCTATTACTCATCCCCTGCAGACACACTCACCGTTTACATTGCCATTATTGCTATTTTCCAATGACTTGTAGGCCTTCTGGGGTTGTAAAGCTTTTGGTACCGTGTAAAATCGCGTTGTACTTAATATTGCTGCAATGCACACGGGCCTTGTGATTTTTAGTAAACCGACTGATACAAATGAGTACAGATAAGAAAATGCCTGGCTAAGTGCTATTTAAAAACTTTCACTGATGCAGCACGTTAATTCTCTGCATGATTCACATGCAACATCCAGTCTGCCGCAGCATGAAAAATGCTCCTCTCAGTAAAAATATTCCTACGATAAGGTATGCTTTCTTTTTAATTGGGCATGCCTGGGAGCTGAGCACACAGCATGTGCGTGGGAAAGAAATGGGACCCAGCCCTGGAAACAAAAAAAGGCTGATTAAGACAAGATCAATCCTTTCAGCGCACAGCAAAGCAGATTTGGCCTTGTCAGGGGACACGACTCCCCTGCAATTCCCAGTGCCCCTGCTAATTTCAAACTCGGGTCACCATCTTGAGCATGCGATGGGAGGCTGTCACCTGAAGCGAGAAGAAACACATACTGATTAGCACACATCAGCCTAAAACAATGACTAAGGGCAAATGCAAAAGTGTTTACCAGTCTGTTCTGCAGTACTGCCGGCAGCCCGCACGCTCGGACAGAATGACAGCAAATACAGTTGGGAAGGAGAAGATGGAGATTGGATGTTTGTACAAGGCCTTGCTTATGCCCCTGGAAAGCAAATCTTGTCCTGCTTTTCTGCTACAGACACAGGTGCCTGGAACACAGCCTGGAAGTCCAGGCTTTTGTCTTCAACTCTCTTTCAGGCCACCTTCAAAGCTTTTGTTTTACACAGCACTGCCTGGCACCCCTACTGTGACCAAGCTCAATCCTCATTACAGCATCGTCGATAAACACAACCTAATTTTTATGCCTGAATATCAACTTCTTGGACCTCTGCCTCATCACAAGGCATGTGCTGGGGCAGGATCTCATACAGCTGCAGCCAGAAACCTAATAGCGAGGCATTGCATAGAAGTAGCTCAACAAAATATGGTAGTAAGTTGACCAGTATGTTGAATGCAGGTGCACGCAAGCGTAAAGAAAATAAAAAGTTTTACAGCCATGAAGCAGCTTGAGAACTGTCTGCAGCCCCGTATTACCACCAACCAGTTCTCTGAGGTAGGGTAGGAAACAGCACAGACAATAAGAGGACTGTGAAAACACTCTGGAGCACAGTCCAAATCACCACAGATCTATTCTGCTACGTCGCTCCAGTACAAGATTGCTCCATTTTCCAACAAAAGGAAAAGGTGCCGGACCAGGTCACTAGCCATGACAAAACAGAGTGGAAACAACCAAATCTATAACAGTATGAATTACCCTGAAAGGCATTCATTATCAGCTACCTGTAGTCATATTTTGAAACCTTTATTGACAACTGTAATTACTTGCAACTTGCATTTAAAAGGATTATACAGTTTAAGCATGGACAATCACATACAACACTTAGCAGTAGACTTCTCAGAGCTCATGATCTTAGAGCTGAAGGGAGCAATTAAAACCAGCTGCATGCTTTATCAGGGCAACTGGAAAAAGCTGACACATTTGAGACTTACAGGCGCTTCTTGCGGTCTGAAAGCATTTTGCATAAACTCGACCTCACTTTGGGCAGGCTTAAGACAGCAATTGCCAGCAAACACAGCGCCGTACTCCAGCGCTCACACCGTGCACGGGCCCATCTCTCAAACGACTGCCTGTTTCCAGTCCAGTCTTAAACCAGCTTTTTATTGTGCGCTTCCCAAACGACCGCACACTGCAGGACTCGGCAACAGCCCCCTTTCCAGCCTTGCGCGCTTATTGCCTCCTACGGTTATCAAACCCGAAGTTTACCACATTTTGTCACCTCCCACGCACACAGGGGCCAGCAGCCCGGCGTGGCGAGGCGAGGCGAGGCGAGCTCCCCCGGGGCCGGCTCTGCCGCCGCAGCCAGGCCTCCGGGAAGGGGCCCGGGCAACCGCAGGCCCGCGGGGGGGGGGGGAAGCAATAAGGGGGCAGGCTGCTTCCTACCAGGTTCGCCCCAGCTGCTACGGCACGGGGAGCACAGGCCTGCGGTGGAAACGCTCACGGGTGGAAGCCAAACCGCGGTGACCCCCCCCGCCCCTTCCCTGACAACACCCCCCCCGACCCTCCACGGCCCAGCCGGGCGCGGGGGGGGGGGGGGGAAAGGTCGCGGCGCGGCTACTGCGCATGCCCGCACGCAGCACCACCCCGCCACTGCGCCTGCGCGGCGCTGCCTGGCGCCCGGCGGTGAGGTGGGGGGGGGGAAGCGGGGGCAGGGCTCTCTCCCGGTTCCGCCCCACCGACGTGCGCGGGCCGGGCGCGGAGGGGGAGAAATGGCAACTCTGGTCCCTGCGACGGTTTCTTCTTCTCCCGCCGGCGCCCCATCCCGGAGCAAGAAGCGCCCGGCGAGCCCGGGCACCGGCAGCGGCCCCGCTAAGAAAAAGAAAGCGACGACACCGGGCGGCTCGCAGGTAATGGGCGTGGGGCGGGCGGCGCGCATGCGCGGCGCGTCCCCGGCCCGCCTCTTCCCCCTCTGCGCATGCTCACGGGCGGCGCGCGGGGCCGCGTGCCCAGCGTAGCGTCCCGGCGCCATCGCGATCGCCATCGCCCCCTGTCCCGGTGCCCGCGGTCAGGGCCTGCTGTCTCCGCCGGGCTCCTCCGCGCCACTCCCGCCCCTGGCCGCGCTGGAAGCCGTCGGGCGCCTGCCGCTGACCCCCGCGCTGGCGGTTGCTTTTCAAAGGTGTTTGTCGGCCGAGCGTCAAGCCTCTGCCGTCATCCTCCGGTAGCGTGGAGGTGGTGTCCCCTCCGTGCGTGCAGCTAAACCGGTAGTGGAGTTCTCACGCCTATCCCCCTCGGGGGTGTCACTAAAGGCAAACTTAACTGAGCTTCAGTTACAACTGTGTTTAAAATCGTCAAGCTGTCGGCGCTGTACCTGTTGGTACTCTCTCTGATCAAACCGTCTTGCAGGTCTTCATTTTTCTCCGTGCTTGACTTCAGTCGCTTGCTGATGTTAGGCCGTAGCTCAGCTCTGTGTAACACGCACATGCAGAAACCTCTGATTGTGCATGATGATGATTTTAACTTGAGGTAGTTGATCTGCTGCGGGGGGGGAGGGGGGACTAGCGCTTGACCGAGCACAATTTAACAGCTGCTAGTTGTGTTGCGTGCAGCTCAAGTACAATTTTGCTTTATGGCCTTCTCTCAGTTGAGCTAAGTGGACCTAAGAGTTAAATGTGAAATGAGGATGTAAGCTCAGGGCCTGAGTTTCGGGGAAGAGGGTCAGGGGAGGGAGACGTGCTATTGATGGGAATTTCTCCTAACTTCCTACCCCCCAGTCGTAGTGGGAAGTGCAGCCTCTCTTGCTGCCCTGTGTGACACCACTGGGCAGCTCCACAGACCCCTCCCAAGCTGATGACATCTGCCCCTTGACCATGAGGTATCATCTCATGATCTGAAACTAAACTCCAGAAGAGGTTCAGAGTCAGTGTGTATGTGACATCTGTATAGACTTTAGATGCAGCATGTCTTGGATTAGTTCTGTTAGAAAGATTTTGGTAACTAATGTGGTTGAAAAAGAGATGGAAAAAAATAGTTACCTTTCCCCACCTCTGAAATGATTCTTTTCAGTAATATTTCATGTACTATAACAGTAGCATAGCTACAAAGTATGCCTTACTGCCAGCTGGGTTGCTTATTTTCACATGAGCCATCAGACTGGGGGAACATTTCTGCATTTTTCATCAGATCTTCTTTCCAGACAATTAAAAGCAATTGTGCACATGCCAGAGCACAGACACAAACCCTTCCTCATTTTGAACCATGCTCCTGTAAAGCTTGTTTTCACCCTGTGGCGGTTAGGTAGTTTGTTTTCTGGAGGGCTTATTCCTAGGAGAGGGAGTATGAACCGTAGTGCTTAATGTAGCTCATGAACTACCCTGCAACTGTGAAAAATTACTGCTTGGCATAATCGCCTTTGACAACTTTTTCAAGGCCTGCCAGAGATAACAGTCTGGATTTTCCATCCTGGAGATGACTGTTCTGTGCATGCCTGTGTGCATGTATATGCAGATATAAAACATTGTATACTTAAATATAATTTAAATGCATATAAAGTCTTCTATATTTTAAACAATTCCCCAAACCCTTCAGCCTTTAGAACTGTTTTCTGAAGTTAGCACCACACTTAAGCCTGTGGACAGCTTCCAGTATTATGAGACAATCTGTGACTTCTTACTCAAACTGGGTTTCGATAGTGTGTGATAAACAGTTTTTGCAATTCTTCTCACAAGTGATTTCAGTGGAGGAAGGAGTAATTTCTCAATATTATGTCCAAGTCAGTGTACGCATTCACTGTCTTCATCAGTGCAGATCAATCCCATAAGGAAAAGAAAAAAATGACTCTCAGAAAATCTGTAACGTCAGGAATGGGACAAAAACCAGCTTGCTGATCTTCTAGCAATCATATTCAGTGTTGCTGCCTAGCTCTGGAGCAAGCCAGTTCAAACAGAAATGAAATGTGGGCATTGCATTTTTTGAGTTAGAAACATTGATCATTGGGTACTTTTCTTCTGCAGTACCTTATTTAATCTTAATGTCCAGAAGTCCTTATAACGCTCCTAGTTAATTGCTGAGTAATGCACTTTTTTTTTAGGATAAGGAGACTTGTGACACAATGAAACACTCCATAATTCTACTCTGTTGAGCTGTTCAGAATGTAGCCAGTCAACAAGCACTTAAAGCTCTTTTTTATAACTTATCCAATCTTCAAGTGGCTCAGCCAATCAGGGACTAGGTCATCCATGGATTTTAAATATTTTTTCTGAACATATTATATACTGAGTATCCAATCACTGTGGGATTTTTATTTCATTTTAGTTTAATAACTCCAAACAACTATTGCTCATCTGGCAGTCTGACAGGTATACAACTTTAAATACACTTCAGCACAGATTCGGAGGTAGCACTTGTTACTCTGACTGTTCACTTTCCTAATTAACTCCTTTGATATTTTTAACAGCCTTTTACAGCCTATTTTCAGCCTTTCAGAAGCCAAATATATAGTGTCATAGACCAGGTAAAATGGTTTCTATTTTAAGTAAAATGACATTGTGAAACAGATTGAGAAATAATGAATTATTTCCTTGGTTAACTAGCAAGCTATAGGTAAGAGGATTCCTACCAAGAGGTTTGTAACTACTTGCAGGGGTCAACTTAGGATCTGAGGAGTCCCTTTTATATTAACTGTTAACTTTTGCTGGGAAACTTGTGCCTGGCCTACATGAAAATATACTTCCCATAGTGCCAACTGTGAACCTACCCACATCTGTGATTCCATCACTGTGAAATTAAACAAAAAGGGGTTTTTGTAAGTTCTGCAAATTACATGGTTTGTTTTTCTTCTGCATGCTTTATGTCACAAGTAGCTATCACAGTGCTCACACTGAAAGACACACTGGTGTGGTAAAACTGTAGATGTCAAAAATGTGGTTTATTTTTTTATGTAATAAATTTGCATAAGTATAGCAATGTAATAAACCAGTTTCAGTAAGCTTGTGTATCTTGCAAGAGGGCACAATTATCACTCAGTATACATTTTTTTATAAACCAAATTTTGATTATGTTTCTCCGACACATGAATTGCTACTTTAAGATACACTTTAGGAACGTTACCAAAAACCATTCTTCATCATTTGTATGAGTTACTGACCCAAAGGTATTGAGTCATGTTTGTTTTGGAAGCACATTGCGCATAGGGCTTGTCAGTCATGTCTACAGAAGGAGACATAAGCTTTTTGGATATAGTGCCTGTATTTACCAAATGTGAAATTAAAAGCAAGTTTACAGGAAAGCATGATTGCAGATTGATTACATCACTTTCATTAGCATTACACAATTATTCCTCCCATGCAGTTGTACCACTGAAAAATACCTCAGTCTTTGCTGCAGCAGAAGATTTTTTAATGTTGAGGATTATTGTGTGTATTAAATGGTAACATTCATGTATAAAAACCAGTGCTGTTTAGTGGCTTATGTAGCACCGTGCAGTTAGATGTCCTTGCCCTATGGTTCCCAGTTGCTGCTGTGCTGGCTCCATTGCTGGCTCTTGTGCAGACTTGCTTCCAGGTCTCCTGTCTTTTTAATTACTATCACTTAACCTTAGATAGAATCTTTGACACTGATCTTAAAATGCTACCAATTCCTCTACCTTAATGTTCACACCACTATTTTTATAGATTATACAGCAACAGGAAGCTTTTAAAAGAGTATATTCTACATCAAGATGTAATTGATGAAACATAATGCTTGCCCATGCTAGCTAGCAAGCTTTGAAGATAAAATTTGCAGTGAGGTAAGAGAATGATTTGGAGAAAAGAAGTCTCTGATTTTGTCAGAGGACAATTAAAGAGAGAAAATATCCTAAATATTATGATAAATGTGTATTTAATTACATCACTTGTGAAACAACATCAGACAGAGGTAATGAAGTATAGTAAACGCCTTACTTTGAGAATGACATTATGTTTCATTTTACATTTTGAATTGATGTAAACTGCTCTGTAAAGTGCAGAAATAAACAGAGAATGCTTTTGCTTCCTTCCTCTCCATCCTTGTAGCACCAGCAGGCCTTGGTACCATTTAGAAAATAAAGACTGAACTTCCTCCTCTGCAATGGTATATAAGAGTTACATTAATAAATATATTGATTTTATCTCTAATCATGAATATTACAGCAGTACTACTGGCAACCTTCATTTTATGTAATTAACTCTCATACGTATACTTAGCGCTTTCTGTATTTCTTGTTCTATGCTTAAAAACAGAAGCTATACAACAATATTAGAAAATAAATTCAAAATGGTTTAAAATTATTGTCCTCTTTACTAAGCTCCTCGTGAACAAATTGAAAAGGAGCGACTCTAAAATATGTTTAGAACTCCATCTTTATTTTAAATGTAACTGAACAATGATGTTTTATATTGTTAACTGAAGATCATCAGATTAGAGTTCTGATAGACAGCTGTCAGTTCAACAAGAAGACTTAAATATATACATATTAACATGGTTACTGTTACGTACTCAGAAACTGTCCACTAAAGACAGAGAGCTTACCCTAGTACATAAAAGGCATGGAATTGGACACTAAACCATCAGTAAATGTAATAAATTCTCCTGTTAAGCTATTTTACCAAGCCTATCACTGTAAGTAGGAAACCATCAAATCAATTTTAAAATAACTTTGTTTTAAAGAGTCCCTTTGATCTGGCTGTAATTTCCTGAAAAATGAGGCTGGGGAGAATGAGTTTAACTGCAGAATCGGTGAGTACCGCTACAACGACTGAGTTGAACTGCTGCTCTCACCACGTACTGGGACAAGTACCTACTCCAGTGCGTCACACTACAATAACTTTCTGATCTGACATCTAAAATTACCTACTTAGGAATTCAGACCTTGTTTACTCCAATCAGTATA